CACAATGACAACACTTCATACCCACTAGGATGACTATAATCAAAGAGACAGACAATCACAAGTATCGACTTAAATGTGAATAAATTACAACTCCCATACATTGTTGGTGGGAATAGAAAATGGTGCACCCTTAGAAAATTATGTGCCAGTTAGGCAAAATGTTAAACACAGAGTTACCACATGACCCAGCAATTCCACAGCAAGGGAAGTGAAAACATCTCCACATGGGGCACCTGGGTGGCTTAGTTGGTTAAGCGTCCGACTTTCGCTTAGGTCATGTCTCGCGGTTCGTGGGTTCAAGCCCCGCGTCGGGCTCTGTGCTGACTGCCAGCTTGGAGCCTGGAGCCTGTTTCAGTCTGTGACTCCCTCTCTCTCTGACCCTCCCCTGTTCATGCTGTCTCTCTCTCTCTCTCTCTTTCTCTCTCTCTCTCTCCTTGAAATAAATAAAACATTTAAAAAAAAAAAAAGAAAACATCTCCACATAAAAACACTCAAATACTCACAGTAGCATTCTTCACAAGTCAAAAAGCTGAAACAACCCAAATGTCCATCAACTGATAAATGGATAAACATAAGGCTGTATTCAACAGTGAAATATTATTCAGCCATAAAAAGGAATGAAATACAGATACATGCTACCCCATGGATGAACCCGGAAACCATTATGCTAGGTGAAAGAAGCCATATACAAAAAGGCATGTGTTTTATGACTGCATTTATATAAAATGTCCTATTGAATGAACAAATCCCTAGAGACAGAAGGCAGGTTACCAGGGCCTGGGAGGAGAAAACAGGGAGCGCTAATGATCAGAGGTCTCCTGGGGTTATAAAAATATTACAGAATTAGATAACTGCACTGCTTTTAAAGCTTTGTAAAACTGTACACCTTTAAAAAGTAAATTTTTGTGTACAAATTAGATCTCAGTATTTATTACTTTTTTAAAAATGTTTGTTTATTTTAAAAAAAGAGACAGAGCATGAGCTGGGGAGGGGCAGAGAGAGAGAGAGACACAGAATCCGAAGCAGGCTCCAGGCTCCGAGCTGTCGGCACAAAGCCTGATGCGGGGCACGAAGTGTGAGACTATGACCTGAGCCAAAGTTGGACGCTTAACTGACTGAGCCGCGCAGGCACCCATTATATCTCAATATTTAAAATAAGCTGATGATTTCTCCTCTGAAAATAATCCAACACCCACTTGTGATAAAAACTTAAATAGGCATAGATGAGAACTGCCTCATCTCGTTAAAGAGCAAACAAACTACAATTAACATCATGCTTAGTTGTGAAAGACCTACGACCGGGAACAACATAAGGCTGTTTACTCTCACCACTTGTACTTAATGTAGTGGAGGAAATTCTAGCCAATGCAATAAGGCAAGAAAAAGAAAAAGTATATAAATCTCAAAGAGCTAAAACTGTTCCTACTGGCAGATGACTTATTTATGCAGAAAATGCCAAGGAATCTACAAAAATTCCAGGAACCAACAGGAGTTCAGAGGTCACAGTCTACCTCTGTAAGGAGCAAACCGGAGAAAACAGTAAGCAGACCAGTCAGTGGTCTGACCTCCAGAGCAGCTAAGCAACTGTCTCCATTGGGAGTCGGTGGGCCAAAAACCACAAATTAGAAGGGGGCTTGGGTTTTATTACACTATCTCTATCTCTATGCTATCAAGATGCTCAATGACTCGAGGAAAGAAGGAAATTAAGCAGTTTGCTTTTGACAGCTACTGAACATCTTACCAGTCTCTCAAAGTTACAGAAAAGAGACCAAATTTATTGGGCTTAAGAATTCTAAAATCTTGATATAAACACCTTAGATTATTCTGTTTTGGCTCTAACAATTAAAAAATAACACTACATATATACAGCAGAAAGCTGATATTTTAAGACCTTCAGGAATTTCTGAATTAAAGTTTCCTTACCATCTATTATTTTTATCACAAATGCCTAAAAGTGCCTCTTTTCCTTCTCAGTCTTACCACTTTGCCACATATGCATACATCTAGGGACGTGCAGGGGCAATACTTACACGTAGACATTGAGAATAAAATGTTGCTATGATGATGCACCCAATACCACAGGATTTTAGCATTCTCGATGATTAAATCCTGTGAGTCTTGTTCATTAAAACTCAGAGTACACACACACTCCCCCAGACAAGCCTCCAGCACGGGTGTGGTCCTTCTCCCTAGCGTCAACAGTACAGTGAGATGCTGTTTCACGGCGAGGATTTCTAACACAGGCCACAAAACACAAACTCACTTTTCGGCCACCACCTCTACCTCTTTACCTGGTACTTTCTACCTCAGTACCAATAAGTTTTACACTGGGAAACCACACCTACTACACAAATACACACACACACACTTAAAAGCCCATGTCTTGCCACTGCTGCCCTGCCCTGCCACCCCAGCAGTGCCACTCAGCATTGCAGTAGGACTCCAGGGCCGGAGTTCCGCTCCCAGCTCTAACACAGATAGGCTGTGAAGCACACACAAAAATGTATACGAAAGTAGGGGTGGGACACCTGGCACCCTCAGTCGGGAGAGCATGCAACTCTTGATCTCGGGGTTTTAAGTTTGAGTCCCATGCCGACTATAGAGATGACTATAAATAAATAAATAAATAAATAAATAAATAAATAAATAAATCTTTAGGGGTGCCAGGGTGCCTCCACCAGTTGAGCATCCAACTCCTGATTTCAGCTCAGGTCGTGATCTCACAGCTCATGGGATCGAGCTCCACGCTGAGCTCAGCACTGACAGTGTCGAACCTGCTTGGGATTCTCTGTCCCTGCCCCTCTCCTGCTTGCGCGTGTGCTCGCTCTCTTTCTCTCACTCTCAAAATAAATAAGTAAACTTTAAAAGAAAAATGAATAGGGGTTCCTGGGTGGCTCAGTCAGTCAAGCATTTGACTCTCAATTTCAGCTCAGTCATGATTTTGCGTTTCGTTGAAATTGAGCCCCACATCAGGCTCTGCACTAACAGTGTTGAGCTTGTTTGGGATTCTCTCTCTCTGCCCCTCCACCCCCCAAATAAATAAATAAATAAAACTCTTTTTTAAAAAAAAACGTAGGAGGCAATATACAGAAATTATGCCATAATAAAATTATATACAAATTATATAGTTACAGAAAATGAACTGTAAGTAACTATGAAAAAAGTGAAAACTGGGGTGCCTGAGTGGCTCAGTTGGTTGGGCAACTGACTTCGGCTCAGGTCATGATCTCATGGTCTGTGAGTTCAAGCCCCGTGTTGGGCTCTGTGCTGACAGGTAGCTCAGAGCCTGGAGCCTGTTTCGGATTCTGTGTCTCCCTCTCTCTCTGACCCTCCCCTTCTCACACTCTTTCTGTCTCAGAAATAAATAAAAAACATTTAAAAATTTTTTAAAACGTGAAAACTGATGTGTTGATGATACCGTAATTATAGTAAATATTCTTTTTCCCTCTTAATATTGTTATACTTTTTACAAACATATGAAAAAGAAATAAGGGGGAATTAAAGAAAGTATGTTTAGAGGTCTTTAAGCATTTTATAAGAAACCTACTATCCAATGACAAATTCCTCACTTGATAATGGCAGATACACAGCTAAGCAGGAGTCAAAAGATCTGTATCCTGTTACTGTTCTGTCCTTATGTACAAGGAAGAACTTTTCTGAAAAGGACAACTCTTTTTTACAACCTCAAGATATTCAAAACGTGAAAGTTATGCTGTGATCTAAGATCCCTGGGAGGTTCTGAAATCAACATGATGCAAGGAGCATCCAAGAGTCAGAGAAAGTTCTTGTTGGCAACTGCTTTGTGAGGACTTCACTCATACAGTAATTCACGTGTCTTTTCTTCCCCTTCTGGAATCATAAGAAATATCCACTTGTCCTACAGGTACCAGAAATAGTTAAGTCACAATTCAAGTCTCAGTTATTTTGTTTATCTGTTCAACAATATTTACTGCAAACCTGTATACCACATGTCAGTGACCTTTTGAGGCACTAAAGGTAAAGAAAGGCATAATACAAAGTTCTTGCCCTCGTGAACACACATTTTTGCAGTGATACGCAGGAGGAAGGAACACTAAACAGGATGAAGGTACCTTCAGAACACTGGATGTGCTATCCTGGCCAACCTCGGAAATGGGGGTGTCTGCACCGAGATCTGGATGGAACGAGGAGGAGGGCCGGAAGACACCCAGCAGACAAATGTTTCAAGCAGAAAGAATTCAAGCAGAAAGAATTGTAAGCACAGAGGCCCTGAAGCAAGAGACGCTTGGAAAGTTTAAAATTAGCAAGGAGGCCAGTGGAAGTGGAGGCAAGAGAACCCAGGAGAAGAACGTCAGGGGACATCAGAATGGTGGTCAGCGTCAGATCATGTCAGGGCCTGGTTGGCCACGGGGAGTCACTGAACCGGGGTCTGGGTGTGGTGCAAAACCTCTGGACGACTCCGAACAGGGGAATAACATCACGTGAGTTACATTCTAAAAGGATTCCTCTGGGAGCACCTGGCTGGCTCGGCTGGCAGAGTGAACGACTCAGTCCCAGGGTCGTGAGTTCGAGCCCTATGCTGGCCGTGGAGCCTACTTAAATTTTAAAAATTAAGAAGTAATAAAAACGGAAGGATTCTTCTGAGGGCTGTGCGGGAAACAGCCCGTAGGCACCGGGAAAGTCACAGTGGACGGTGGTCGGGATGCTACCACGAGAGCACAGGGAAAAGAGAACGACAGCTGGGTGCCAGGAGAGCAACAGCTACCGCAGGAGCCCAGGAAGTCCTCATGTACTTCTAAAAGTACAGCCAACGGGATCAGCTCACGAGTTCCAGGCGAGCTACGAAAGCAAGCCAATGACAACCTCACAGCTTCTGGCCTGGGAAAGTGGGTAAATGGAGGCTAAGTCTTCAGACCTAGAAACTGTTTTCAAGATATCAAATTCAGCTGTTCAGAAATAGCACGAGCATTACTGACCTAAAACTGAAAAGGCAAAAAGAGAACAATTGCTTTTCTACTCACCGTTTGCTGATTGGATCATGTTTCCAGATTTCTGGACTTCATCAAATTTTGTAAAAATTACATTCAACCTGTATGAAAAAAAAGCACATGTACATATAAAAACTATTAACAGTCACTGTTTATAGTCAATTATATTAAAACACTAAAGTGAAACTGAATCACACTCCCAAAAAATAAAGATCAATGATACAAACCCACTTAATAACAAAAACAGTAACTACCTTAATAATATCCAACAGTAATTAAGCACTCATAAACCAAGTACTGACTCAGGGCTCGCTCTGAAAAATCCTGTTTAATCCTTATGACAGCCATCTATGAGATTACCATCCCATTTTAGAGATGAAGAAATCAAGACCCAATAACTTACTTAGGGTGGAGATGCCAGCCCTCAGAGTAAGAACCCAGAGCCCATGCTCTCAGACACTGTATTAAATTGACTACCTTACACAAAATGTATACATTATGAAAAGCATATTTCTCCTATTTCTAAGCACATACTGCTGTTGTTCAAACGCACTGACATTACAAGATAAAGGCTTTTCTGTGACTTATGCTTAATTCAGAAACGCTAAAGTAATTTCTCTAGAAACAAACACTGTGACTAGATAATCCTTAACTAAAAAAAATCTACACAACACTTTCCATTAATGGATCATTTTCACCTTGACATTTAAATCAAAACAAACTTCTTTAACCGGTCAAAATATTCCATCCTAGTGACACCAATAATGAGAGGAAAACGGGGTGGGGTAGATGGATGCTAATCTTGCCTGGTAGAAAAAGTCAAGAAAAAACTAGGCTTTCCCAAGTAAAACACAGATATTTTGGAATAAGTGTAAAGGCGGAGATTCGAAAAAAGCAACATATTTTTGTATTCAAACCTACACCACCATTTCGGGGACCAGCCTAGAAATTTAGCGCTGACTTACAAACTATCCCATCATACGAGCTCTCATCATTTCAAACATGTTTGTCTCTTCTTGACAACTAGAATGGACCCTCCTTCAGGATAGGGATGGGAACTGTGTTCTTCTCGTATTCTGTACACATCAAACACCACGTCATGCAGGAGAGTCCATCACTGCGTGAAGACTGTTCTACACTCGGTACAGAAACTACGTACATTCTGGCTTCCGTTCCTTCAGAGTTCATCCACTGAGTCCAGCACTGAGCTGGCCAGATGCTGCGTTGTATAAGGTTCCTGACTTCTACAGCTTCTACTTCATTCTTTTCTACTTAGGATGTCACAGTCTAAGTAACAGGGGAGCCAAAAATACACATCAGCCAAGCGAGGTACAATGAAGGGGGTAAAGGAGCCTGACATACTGTCCCTCCACCTCCCCCATGCCATGGCAGGTATCACTCTTCTTGGCCCATCTTCCCGTCTAAGTCCAGATGGGGCTTCAACATCCTTCTCAAAACTGCTCCAGGCAGCCCCTACCAATGAATCAAAGTTGACACTGAATCACAAAAAGGCTTATTTGTCACCTGAGGACCAGATATGAGTAAAACTCACTTTCAAATCCAGAAGTTACTGAAGATCTGGAAAAAAGCCTTAGACCAATTTCTTATGATGTTTCCATCACCTTCCCTTTTATAAGCACCAAAGATCTCCAGTGGCATAAAAAAGCGCATAAATAATATCACTATACAGGTTGCCAGGGCGTGCCCTGACCAGCTTACCACTTTATTGTGTCACAGCTGCGCCCTCTGACGTGGGCATGCAAGGGAGGGACAGGGTACGCCTCTAGCCTGGTTGGTCCTAAAATTACTGCAAGGGGCAAGTCCTTCATCCGTTCCTGGGACAGCAGTCACCTTATCGATGGCAACTGTGAGCAAGCCCGCAGATGCTCTGTCTATGGTAACGTCTATCACTGGGGCCACACTACCCCCCACCAGCAGGCCCAAACATCCAGGTAGGAGAATGCTAAACAGACTGCTGGTGTTGGTACCCGCATTTTAACTCAGTAATCCCTCAGGAAGGCAAGCCCTTCCCTCCACCTACGCCCATCTCGGTAGCTGTGCCTCATTCTCTGTTTGGCGATGCCCATTTGGCAGCTCCTAAGAAGGCAACCACCTCAAGAGACAGGTAACCTGGCTTCAGGAAAGTCTGACACCAGCAGAGCATCCCTCACGAATGGCTTTCGGCTGCGAGCTCTGAACCGAGCAATACAAAATGCCTCCCGGGGACCCACGAATTTGCACAAGCCGCAAAGGGGGAGTTTTAGACATTCAAAGACGCTGAATATGTAACTAATGATTACTCTCTGAAGCCACCAACTTTATTTCACTTTTTTATGTTAAATCTCTGGATCTCAAATTTAAGTTAAATTTCTTTACTACTCTGACAAATAACTAGTACCATTTTCCCCTGGTTTTTCTGAATTCAAAATGTATATTCAACTCCTCAAGCCCACCTGGCATTTTATTTTTTTTACTGTAATATCTAATTATTCCTTCCTAGACTATCTTATAATACAAATTTAAAATAATCTCCTAAAAGCACTAGTAAGCTCACAGTCAACAAACTCCACCCATACACTCAGAGCTTCTAAGTGACTTTTTAGTCCACTGCTCTTAAATATGAGCAGACAAACCAATTCAAAGACACGTGAGCAAAGCTTCGAAGTGAAAAAGGGAGTGCCAAGATGAACAAACGCATACCCCAGAATCCCAATACACAGGAAAGAAGAGTAATGAGAGATTTTTAAAATATTATCATTAATACTTTCAAAGGGATAAAGAAAATCGTGTAATTATAAAAGCAAACAGGGAAAAAGACCTTCAAACAACAGGAAATCTGCTCCTTCAAAGAAGCGAAGAAAACATTCACAAAGTATGTCAGAATCAAGTTTTTCAAAGCTCTGGAAATTAAACAAAGGTTTGCAACAGTCCAAGGAGCACTCTTCAAGAAGAACTGCTCAATCTTGATAAGGACAGCAAGCTTTTCACCCTTCTGCTGTGTCTTATCTCCATCTCGAAGTCACCAGCTGAAGATCAACAGCCTCACAATCCGAACAGTTTGAAAACCAGCTGCCTCGAAGCCCCTGAGAAGGGCTGCGCAAGTCTGGGGCGCCATAAAAATCCCCATTCCAAGACAACTGTAACGATGTGATGTGTCTGGCGGACCCCAGAGTCCCCACTCACAGGGTCTAACTTTACCTGACTCACAGCACATTTGGTACGAGACACTGTTGCCCCTGAAGCCAGGATCAAGAAGAATCAGCAACAACCGCTTACCTAGGCAGCTGCATGAGATGATGATCACTGGGGCAAAGACACTGACCAAAACCTTACAAACAAAAATGGAGAATGAGATGCTCACAGGGGACTCTGAAAAAAAATGTGACACATTCCAGGGAATCTGGAAGGTTACACATATGTGCAAGACTGTAGGAAAGTGTGAGAAAGCACCCGAGGACACGCTAAGGTCTCCTCTCTGGCTGACCTTGACCTGCACAAGCTGGCAGAGAAGGGGAAGACAGAGATGTATAAACGGCCCGCCAGAACACTGAAAACATTCCCAGCAAACACAGACAGTGCTCAGCAAAGACTGCAAGACTGACTGGTTGAAGGCATCCAAGGAAATCCCTGCTGAATCATTAGCTGAACACTATGCTGACCAAGCAGAGACCTTAGAGGCCGTACACATTAAAAAAAAAAAAAAAAAAAAAAAAAATTTTTTAAATACAGACTTTATGGAATTAGTTCAGGAAAATTACTAAACAAGCGGAGCAACAAACACCACCAACAACAAATCTACAGAGAAAATCAGAATGTGATTTCCAGAGTTGCCACCTTATTTTAAATGACCTATTTCAACAAATAATTTACACAGGTAAAGAAGAAAATATGGCCCATATGGAGTTAAAAAAAAAAATTTAGTCAACAGAAACTATTCTTTTTTTTTTTTTTTAATTTTTTTTAATGTTTTATTTATTTCTAGGAGAGAGAGACAGACAGTGTGAGCAGGGGAGGGTCAGAGAGAGAGGGAGTCACAGGCTCTGAAACAGGCTCCAGGCTCTGAGCTGGCAGTCAGCACAGAGCCTGACGCGGGGCTCGAACCCACGAACCGCGAGATTATGACCTAAGCGAAAGTCGGACGCTTAACCGACTAAGCCACCCAGGCGCCCCAACAGAAACTATTCTTAAAGGAAGCCCAGAGATTGGACTTATGAGATGAATACTTGAAAACAACTATTATAAATATGTTGAAAATAAAACAAAGGAAATTATTTCTAAAGAACTAAAGGTAAATAGAAGAATGTCTTACCAAAGAGAATCACTGAAGAGACAGAAAATGTAAGAATCCTACAGAGATTCTAGAAATGAAAAGTATAAAACCGAAATAAAAAATTCAGTAGATGGGCTGCCTGGCTGGTTCAGTTGCTCTTAGAGCATGCAAATCTTGATCTCTGGGCTGTGGGATTGAGCAGCCCCATGCTGGGTATAGAGATTACTTTTAAAAATCTTTAAAAAAAAAAATTCACAAGAGGGCTCAACAACAAACTTGAGTTGGGAGAAGGAAAAAAGCTGAAAACTTTAAGAGGAGTCAGTGGACAATATCTTGCCTGAGAAACAAAAGAAAAAGAATGGTAAAAATCAACAAAAAAACAAAGCCTAAGAGTTCATGTTTCTATAATACCAACGTACCAACATACATATAATGAAATAGCAGAAAGAGACGAAAAAAGGAGAATGATGGACAAAAACGAATATATGGAGAAATAATGTCCAAAGACTTCTCACATTTTATATAAAATTCTAATCTACATATTCAAGAAGCTCAACAAATTCCAAATAGGATAAATTTAAAGCGATCCTAATCTAAACACATGAGAAACCAGCTGCTAAAAGAAAAAACAAAATCTTGAAAGCAACAATAGGGAAGCCACACACTGTGTACAAAGAATCCTTTATAAGATATATAAATAATTTCTCTTTTAAAAAACAAAGAAAAGGAAAGGAAAACAATAGAGACCAAGTGGCAGTGGAATGACATATTCAAAGTCTTAAAATTTAAAATCTCAACTAAGTCTATCTCAACTTCAATAATTTGAAAATG